TAACAATATGATGCATGAAGATAGTGGTATGAGTGGCAAAGTATTCTTTTAAATCGTAGTACACTGTTAATTATAGTCATTATTTTCATCATCATCATGTTTAAGAAGAGACAGGAGACCAATGTAGCTTTTGCAAATGACAAACCAGCGAAAACTGAATTTTAATAAATGCAATGCATATATGGTAAATTACACAATAAAATAACAAGATCATGCACATAGACAACAATGCATATAATAACCTTATTTCCCCTGCCTCCTCCACTTGTGGCACCATAATCAGGATCGAAATCATCGTCCTCAGGATCATCTTCTGCATGCAAAAGAAAATGTAACAAGTTTAATATTTACCATATCAACAAACTGAATGGTGTGTCTTCCACAGACTAATGCGAAGGAGCATTTTTTCAGAAAATAATTATCAAAGGGAAGAAAACAACTACCGTCGTCGTTGTCTTCTTCATCTTCATAATCAATGGTGTCTTCATCATATTGGTCAGCTTTCAATCCTTTAGACTTCTTATAAACACTGTTTCCAGCAGCAGAACGAGGGGGCGGCTTTGAACTAAATCTGCTTGTCTTGTTCAATGTTCTATGATGATGCAATCGCTCATCATCATCCTGCTCATAATACTCATCAGACAACATATCATCTGCAAGAACACGCTGACGAACCTTGTCGTCAACTTCTTTCTGCCTAATTTCATCATTTTCAGAATCTATCCTATCCTCTACACCATTAGAATCCCCCTCCAATTCGGAACCTTTGTACTCTGACCCACTCTTAGATTCCTCCCCAGACTCCAACCCTCTATGGGACTCCATGGGCTGACAATCCTTCCAAAAACTTGAACCCCATTTCCCAACAGCATTTGCACTCCTCATTGAAGGCTGATGGGTATTTTCTGCCCTGAAATTACTACCACCGTATTCTCCACTTTTATTACTCAAAATGGGTTCCAATATTTCTTCATTTTCTCTACCCGAGTTACCGAAATTCCTGTGTGTGTTATTATTATGTATACTCAAGTGTGAGTGGTTTTCCTCATTCAATGCACTCTGCTCGACTGTTCCACTTGACAAATTCCTATAAAGGGCCATAACCGTATTTTCACATGGAATCCTAGTTTTCAGTGCGTCAGAAATGGAAAGTACAGATGCAATATATTAGTTTCTCAGAAAAGCTCCCTCCAAAAAAGCTCTGAAAAGAAAGTTAAATGCAACAACATTCAGATACCTGGATGAACCATAAAAACTACCCTATTCTATAATTAAACCACAAAGAATCTAAATAGTTTTGTACATAAACAAATACCGAAAATCGGCAAATTTTAACGGCAAAACATATGGATCGGTTACCTGACACTCAGAAACCATTGAGAAAACACGAGAAAAGAACGGCAGTTTTTTATGCTGAAAGAAAGTTGAAAAAAACCCTAAATCTACAAGCAAAAAGCCCTAATTCAACTGAAAGTAGAAGAGCGATTCGAACATAGGAGCTCTTAATTCAATTTCATCTCAGAAAACTAACCTCTATATATCACAAAAAAGGAGGGAATTCTAAAATCCGGTTCAAGGTATTTTCGTAAATGAATGAGGTGGTTAACAATCGCACGCTCGTCGGAGTCAGGTAATAAGCGAAGCAGCAAAAGCCGGCAGCGGGAAAGAAAGAATTCAAAAACGATATCGTTTAATCAGCCTATACAAAACGGATACGCTGATTGAATCCCGAAGCAAAAGGGATTGAAATTAAACCAATCGATCAATCGAAGATGGTCACTGGATGTAATTTTACCGGTGAGATGTTCGATTATGTTCAGAAGATGAAAAAAAATTCTAGAGAGAGAGAGATAAACTTTAGAGAGAGAAAGCTGTATGTATATGTGTATGTATTATCAGAGACGGAATTTGGATTTATGAGGTTATATTTCCTTGGTGAGACGTGTTTATAGAGTTGTAGGGAAAATTGCAACAGAGGTTCCAAACCTTTCATTTTGTTACAGATTATATCTTAACCTTTCAAATTTACAATCGCAATCCCAAACCTTTCATTTTAATTGCTGCCGGAGTCCATTGAATGGATTCCATCCAAAATTCCGTTAGTCAACACTGAAATCGGGCTTTTGACTCAATTTGACAAATGAAATGAGTGGTAAAATGATCTGTTTATATTCTTATAATTAAATAGTTAAATAAAAAGCAAAATAAAAAATAAACTTCATCTTCTCCACAACACCCCACCCACACCCCCACCTTCAAAATCAAAAACTACAGTCGTCACTACTGCACAATCACTGTCATCGGCACTGTCCAACCATCATCGTTACTGTCGCACAACCAGCAAAAATACCTCAGTGCAAATTTCATTTTTATCCCAAGAATTATCTTTCAAACCTCTAAAATCCATGGTTATCTTCCCCAAAATCTTACATTCCAACCATTTCAATTTGAGCCTCTGAAATAGATCTAAAAATTGAAGCAAAATCTGAAAAAAAAAATGAAAAAGAAAAAAAGAAGAAGAAGAAACAAATAATGGATGTCAAATGGATCGGAAAAAGAAAGTCATTTGCACGGCAGCTATATAAGACCACACCCAAGATAAAATCGGATCATTACTAGAAATTGGAGGTAAAGATAAATTTATAGCCCCATTTTCAGAATTGGGTTTAAACATTGAAAGAAGCCCTTAAACATCCACTAAAGAAGAATCTCAAGGTTACCCACTTTTTTTAAGTTAGTGATAGTGATAATTGATAGAACGTGCCGGCGAATATTAGTCTTTTGTATTTACATTTGTGGTAGAGGGCGAGATCATGGTCGAGGGATTTTGTGAGATTGGCAGCCCCACGACGAATAGGGCGTTCTTAAATGTTGGAGGAGGCGGTGGTGAGGCGGGTGATGGCGTGGAGGTACTGGGATAGTTGGGCTACTTGCGTGGCGAGGCCGTTGATTTTGGAGTTGGAGGTATTTTGGAGAAGATGAAGTTTATTTTTTATTTTACTTTTCATTTAATTATTTTATTATATGACTATAAATGGACCATTTTACTCTCATTTCATTTGTTAATTTGAGTCAAAAATCTAATTTCAGAGTTGACTAACGGAATCTGTACAATGGATTCCAGCTGTAATTAAAGTGAAAGGTTTGAGATTGCAGTCATAAAAATAAAAGGTTAAGATATGTTCTGCAACAAAATGAAAGGTTTAGGACCTCCGTTGCAATTTTCCCGGTACAAATAATGGAACGCACAAGGCCAGAGTAATTTTGATTACTCCAGAATGAGGTACAAGTTTTGATGAACGATGTACTGCCCAATAGAAGTGCTAGTTACTTTTGGTACACGTGCCTGCTGATGTATACACGTGTGAGAGAGGTGGGGTAAATTAGGGAAATTTTCAGATGGAGTCCCTATTCTTTAGAAATACGGCTATTGAGTGTCTATTTAATTTTTTGAGANGTGGGGTAAATTAGGGAAATTTTCAGATGGAGTCCCTATTCTTTAGAAATACGGCTATTGAGTGTCTATTTAATTTTTTGAGACATCTTGGTCCTCAATATTTCAGAAAGAGGTACATAGGTCTCCACTTGGTTGACAACCACTAGTCTTACCCTGAGTTTGAATGTCTGTGACGCGTGATCTCGTTTTCTATGGATATTTTTGTCATGCACATCTATTTTATTTTTCTTCAGAAAAATTTCGATCGAGAGAAATGAAAAAAATAAAATAAAAAATAGATAAAAAATAGAACCAAACCTTTTTGTCGAAAATCAGTGGGCAATGAAAAGTTGTTCCATGCCACCATAATTATTTGCACTTCGATCGACAAAAATGGTACATCTATTTATTAATTATGCATTTAGTTAAATGTCTCCCTTCGCACCCTATATTTATGAAAACGCATCTCATTGACGAAAATTAACTTTACAAATCCTTCATATTTCTTTGATAAAAGGCGAAACGTGTGCACTTACATTTCTCTCTCTCTCTAAGTTCACTCGCACCAAATTCTTTAACTAACAAAATACACCAAATGATCATCTTCGATTGGTTATTCTCCATTAGTTCAAGCTAATTGACACATTTCCTTGGCCAGCATTAGGAGGTGAACCAAAAAACTGTCAACTCGTCAATCAAACCAAAACCACGTCACAAAACCAACTACGTATTAATTCTTATGAATTTCAAAATGCACAATATCGAAGAATCTAGTTAAGGAATCAACAGTTCTGATTCTGCTGATAAGTGATAACTTTGTATGTGATCTTCGTTTACAAAAATATATTATGAAAGACCAATTTTACAACTTCATGTAGCCAACTATTTACAACTTCACTATAATCCATATTTGTGCTATCAATCACAATAGAATTAGGACTTTTGAGCAGCTCTAAACAAGTCCTTCCACTTTTGTGTATCGTTTCCGGGACCTTCTCCCTGCATCAGTTCAAATATTGGTACTGGTATTAGAGCTGGTGCACTTACAGAGTTAGTCCTGAACCACTTATCATTTCAAAACCGAGTGCGATAAATTCTAGATACAAACACACATATTATGCGATGCTTGCTTAGAATATAAATTGACTTGTATAAGCACAGAAAAAATGAGTAAAGCTACCCTTTGATGAGTTACCTGGACTGAGTTTATTTCGTAAATTTGGCCTTCGGTGAAATCTATGTCCAATGCCTGTATGCAAGCTTCTGCAACGACAAGCCTACTAACCTCTCCAACGAGTTTATCTCCTGGAAACCATACAAAGATTTTGATAAAAGATTAATAATCATCCACTCTAAGTTCTAAAGTTCAAGTTCACGAGGCATATACAAAGATTAATTTCTAGTCCTAGCATTTTTCTGCAGTCTCATAAATCTCACGGTTTATACTAAAAGCTACCTGAATTGCTATATAATCAGAATCTTTCAGGTTGTTCTATTTGAAAAATGAAATATATATGAAAGTACCAAAGGTCAGTACCTTGATCTATAACCACTGCACGGCGTTCCCCAGCTGTAGCCTTAAGTAGAGTATTAAGATCATACGACGTGTAGGGTCCATCTGTTAACCTACCCGCTCTAACGCAAGGAAATAAAAACGTAAAAATATAAGACAAGGCTCAGATGGTAACAGAATAATTAATTATCAAATATGAAACAGACAACAGGTTTCTGAACCTGATTATGGTGAATGGAAGACCAGAATCGCGAACAAAATCCTCCCCCATTTTCTTGTACTTTAGAACACCAAAAAGGTTCATGATACTACAGGACAAAAGGAAAAAAGAATTGCATATCCTTTGCAAGGAGTTGTGATCAAATCACACCTTGTAAACATTACAAAATAGTAGGCATACCTCCAGGGAAGTTCATTGAACTTGGTGACACCGACTGATGAAACAAGAACAAATCTTTTCACTGATGGAGGCAATGCCTGAACAAGGTTTCTCACGCCTTCCCAATCTACAAACGTATAATATTTATTGTTAAAACACTCCATTGCAATTTTATAACTTCATTTTAAAACACCAACACTAACACAGAAAGAACCGAAACTGACTTGCCCAATCAAACCCACCCTTAAAGAATAGAAGTTGAGGCTCTTCCTGTTTGGTGTGATGTGTATTAACATGGGTAACTCCAACATGTTGAAGTTAGAAATGAAAATTACTACTATAAATGATGACAGAGTTTCGAAAACTAGTGAACTAGAAAGCTGTACTTCCTGAGGGACAGCTAATAGAAGTCCATGCTCAAAATGTATATGTTTCTGTTGGATCAATTCAAGAAATTGGTCGTGTCCAGATCGAACTGTAGAACTAGTAGACTAAACTTCCTCCCTTCTACGTTTTTCAATTTCTTTTGTGGGTCTTAACACTCGAATTTAGTATTCCAGTAACTGTTTTTGTTAGCTCGATGATGCTCCAACTTAATGCTGAAAAGTATGACTAAATAAGTATAGCATCATATGAACAGGCACAAATCAAGCGCAAGTACATTTTTAAAAGGTCAATCCAAAAGTTATACCGACCTGTTCTTTCTGGGGTATTATCTCCATCCCATCTCTTAGATGGAAAGGCCGTTGTTCCCGTGCAGCAAATAACGTGTGTGACACCCTATAAGTCAAAATGCTTTAGAATTAACGAATTTATCTTAGTTGCTTGAATATTCCAGTTCACAATTTCTTTCAAGCATCTTAAATTTTCCTAAAGGAGCAAGACAATACAAACCTCAAATACAGAAGGATCTAAATCCTCTCGGTTCCTGGTATCACCTTTAAACACCTAGCATGTTTAGAAATACAAACAGATGATAAGGACACTAATAATTTGCAAAAGAAAGCAAATGATTAATATGAAAAAAAAGGGTTCAAAAACTAACCAACTAGTCATCACAATATTGATTCATAAGCTTGTAAAAGATATACCAAACCTTTAATTTATCCTCACTGTGTTCCCCAAAAAGAGCAGTGGCTTTCTCGGGTTTTCGGATCAAAAGGTGGGATTTGATGTTGCGATCAAGCAATGATGCAACAACCAATTGCCCTGAGTGAGAAATGCAGAAAATAAATAGAGGTGGCATAGAAAAAATTTGGATTAAACTAAAACAACACGCATAGAAAAACAGATTCATATGCTAACATAATTCTAAAGATATGTACAGCAAGAGTTTTATAGATAGAAGGCTCGTCAAAATAACTTCTTTTTCGTCTTCAAAAATAAAATGCTTTATCTCATACAAGCTTATTATGGTAAACATAAAAAATGTACTTATTCTGTGAGATAACATGACAAATAAACGCTAATATACACAAAATTTAACTCTTTTTTCTTTGACTATTATGGCATATATATGACTATTCATGCCGAATCCAAGTACCATGTTTAAGATTTTGTTCAGAGTCTTATTCCAACTAATGGAGCATACCAATTGAGAAGTATTTAAAAGAAAACAGTAGGAACTACTCTTCACAATCATAAATCGCTGTTAACATTCTTCAAAGCCTTGAGGCTTAAAGTGGCAAGTGAAGCCCCCTTGCAGGATTTTTCTACTTTGTAAAAGTATTTGACAAAAAATTAATGGCACTGCGGTTCTGCATTCCCTTCCGATAGATTAGCCACCTATTGGCTCCTCAGTACAGCTTTCTTATTAGTACCCTCTACGAAAACCTTTAAATAAAGAAGAATGGCATTCCCTTCCCTGAAAGCTCAGAAGTAAGCCATAACTCTTAACGATGCAAGGAATAGCTATCGTTTCATGCCCAAGTACGAGCACGAGATGAGACTTACCAACAGATCCTAGTGGCTCCGGGTCAGGTCACAAACGTATTTGATTGATTTGAGCTCTATCGTCCCATCCTCTAACTAAACCAGTCCACCGGCGAGGGTAGGCAACTCACTAAGTAGAGTCTAAAATGTTAACAAGATCTGCTGCACTATTAAAATGCTCTTAGCTGCTTATCCGGGATTAGAAAAAGGCTTAACTGCTCTTGACTGTTCTTTCATTTCTGCAATTCTTCATTAAGAAACACAATCGCTTATTTTTTCATTTTAGAAATAGAGTTGGCCACAGTTTCTACTTTCTGAATGTAACTAGTACTACCTTAAAAGAATACCAAGATTGAACCAGAAATATATCCATGAAAAATTTCTTCGATAAACATCAGAAATCAAGTATACACCAGAGGTAAATAGAGATTCGGATTTTCATATAATAAGATCTCAAATGAGTTAATTAAAATCATAATCAGGAAACTTATAAAAACTCGAATTTTAAACATCACAAGACAGTACTATGATTACTTAATGACCACAAAATTCACATACAAATTTCTGTAACTTAAATCGCACAAGAAAACCACTACACCGTAACCAACATGCAAAAATACATTTCCGGCATGTTTGGTAGCGTGGATTGCATAGTATTCATCACTGTCGTCGAAGAAAATTAAACTACCATCCTGTCCTACTCAGTACCACAATACCAAACACGCAATTAGACAACATTGCACAATTTCTAATACCACGCATACTTATGTGACAATTAAAGAGGGCAAAGCAGCAATACCAACACCACCAGTGCCACCAACAACGAGAACGACCTTAGACGAAGATGGAGATGAGGATGAGGAGGGTACGGAAGGGATAGTTTGGGAATCTTGAGTTGATTCTGAAGTTGAAGATTCAACAAATTGATCTATAACCGCATTTGAAACTGAGAAAGATTGCGTGGATTGTGCTTTTGTTTTGAAGAAATATTGGGAAGAAGGAGAATTCAGTGGCAGAAGAGGTAATAAACGGATTGCTTGAGCGTGTTTTGGAAATGTTTTGATGGAATTTTGAAGGACAGATATGTGAGTTAGTGAGAGTTTAGACGCCATTAATGTACAGAGAGAACAACGGCCAACAGTGAGGGTGAGGCCGATAGAGAAATGAGAATACTTTGTGGTGGTGGTTAAGTTTTGAATGTTTTGAATTACCAATCATACCCCTCAAAATTAAGAAAATATCTCTTGCTTCTAAAATTTTGGAATTTTAATTTGAAATATATCGTGATGTTAGCGTGAATAGATGCTTTACCAAGACAACTTCTTTTCTGGGAAATGCACAAGTGCTTGAGAATTTGTTTATCCCCCGTTTGCCCCCATTAAATTATATTATATTACATTCTATTTTTCTCTCTTCTATTTTCAACCATATAATTTTTTATAAAATAATATTACACGTAAATCAAAAAAATTTCCTCTTTTTCAACCACTCATTTTTCAAAAAAAATACTATTTTACCCATTTTCATTACCAAGTAATGGGAATCAAACAAGGTAATATTATGGCCTCATGAGTTAGTTGTCAAGTGTCCCCATAAAAAGGCAATTTACGATGATATCAAAATGGATTTTCGAGGTTACAGAAAATATGCAATAGACTTTTTTTTATACAACAATATGTGAATCGGTCTTATTATAAGGAATCTAAGAACTCAAGGCAAAGCCCATTTTTTGAAAGTGAAAATATTCCACCTTACGACAAAACTCGTATGGAAAAGTAAGCAAACTATGTCCCCTCTTACGACAACAGTGAACATAGTAGCAACCAAAAAGCATTGATCCTTAACTTTTGCGCACTTCAAGTACTTCGAGAGAGACTAACCGATAATATTAGAAGAAGTAGGAAAAATATCGAACATTTAATTTTGCTAATTTTATTATAGATGTTTAAAAAAAATTGCTCAACACTGTGCGAAGTAACTCCACACTTTGTGGTAGCAAAGTACGGAGTTACTCGCCCCCCAGGGCACTTCTCCACTGGCAAAGGACGGACGCTGTCAAACCTGGCAGAGCAGAGGTCGTGAGTTCGAAACATGGGGCTCTTGGAAGGCAAGGATTTATTCTTGGAAGGCAAGGATTTATTCTTGAAAGGCAAGGATTTATTCTTGGAAGGCAAGTGGGAACTTGGAAGGCAAGGATTATTCTTGGAAGGCAAGGTGCAACTTGGATTGGCTTGCTTGGCACTTTATCAGACCAGGTCGGGAGCGCTCGGACCCTGGCCAGTCGGAGGCACATCCTGCGATTAACCGAACTGTGTGAAGAGGGGCCGGATCACAGACCCAAGAATTAGTCAAGAATTGGACACCTTGTAAAAAAAAGTACGGAGTTACTCCCACAAAGTGCAGAGTTATGGACAACTCTGCACCGTGCGGAGAGATCAACTCTCTCCGCACAGTGCGGAGAGTTTCTCCAAACTCTCCGAAAAGTTTATTCCAAAGAGTTTGGAGAAACTTTTTTTTGTTTATTCTTTATTTTTTTTCTATTTGGTTTTTTATTTTTTCATATTATCATATTTTTTTAACAATGTCGAGTTATCTCCAAACTCTACGGAGCTATATTTTTTTCCCCACGTTTCTCTTTCTTTTTATTCTCTTTGGTTTTCTTAAATTTAAACTATTTGATTTTTTATTTTTTTGTTTACCTTTGATATAATATATATATATATATATATATATATATATATATATATATGTGTGTGTGTGTGTGTGTGTGTGTGTGTGTGTGCGTGCGTGTGCGCGCGCGCGCGCGCGTAAATATTCCTACATAAGAAACAAATAAAATAGCTTAACAAAAAATATATATATATATATCCCCACTATGCGGAGAAATCAATCAATCTCTTCGAATTGTGCGGAGAGATCAACTATCTCCGTACAATGTAGAAATATATATATATATATATATATATATATATATATATGTGTGTGTGTGTGTGTGTGTGTGTGTGTGTGTGCGTGCGTGTGCGCGCGCGCGCGCGCGTAAATATTCCTACATAAGAAACAAATAAAATAGCTTAACAAAAAATATATATATATATATCCCCACTATGCGGAGAAATCAATCAATCTCTTCGAATTGTGCGGAGAGATCAACTATCTCCGTACAATGTAGAAACTCTCCAAACTCTTTGCTCTTGGTTTTTATTTTTTTAGATTACCATAGTCTCCCACCAATGTCGGGTATCTTCAAACTCTTCGGATGCTCCGCAGCACTGAGCTACGATTTTTTCCCCACATATATGTATGTGTGTATGTATGTATATGTATGCATGTGCATATATATATGTATGTATATGTGTATATATATATACATTCCTACATAATAAACAAACAAGAAAATAGCTTAACAAAAAAAAAAATCTCTCCGCACAGTTCGGAGAGATCACTTGATCTCTACGCGCAGTGCGGAGTTGTCCGTAACTCTGCACTTTGCTCCCATGAAATACGGAGTTACTCCGCACAGTGTGAAACCATTTTTATATTTTTTATTTTTTTAAGCATTCACAATAAAATAAGCAAAACTAAATATTCGATATTCCAACAAAAATGGATTCGCCAAATTAACATCAAAGATCACACTACAGCAATACTTTTCTCGGCATTCCAACAAAAATGCGGAGTTACTCCGCACACTCCGCAAAAAGTGTGCGGAGTTACGGATAACTCCGCACAAAAGTGCTGAGCAACGCCGCACTGTGTGGAGAGATCAAGCCACAGTTGCCACCTGCAGGGATCGGAACGTGGACTTTCGAGAGAACCTAGGTCACGGTTGCAAAAGCGGCTACCCAATGCCTGGTGAAGGTGATGGCCTTAAAAACTCCAAATGATGATGAGGATTAGGAAGATAGTGATCTGGGTTTTCAGTTCGGACTGCCTTATCCGTCTTCGATTTCTAGCAAAAGCAATAGTCAAAATAGTAGCAGCGGTCTCTTTACAATTTCGCTTTCCAAGCTGAATAGATCTCCGCCTTTTACGGTATTTAGATACCTCAACTGAAATCTTTTCAATTCTCATGGATTTGCTTTGAATAGTTTCAACTTTATATTAGAATTTGAAGTGAAGCATTATAAGTATTCATTTGATTCTTCTCTGTTTTGCTGTGATCTTGTAGATTGGGTGATGATCGGAGAAATTGATTTCTATTAGCAGTCTTACTGAAAATGATTGAAACTGCTTAAGCTCAATTGTATGTGGAAAATGAATTACAGTTTTATCTTCTTTGTCTATTAAATTGTAGATTCTACACATTGTATATTAGTTCAATGGCTTGCAAAACTGGAGCTGACTAAAATCTACCATGAAAGAACTGCATTAAGTTATATGTTGTAAAATTTAGTGTTAAAAATGGAAACTATGTAATCTTAAATATTTGTTAATGAATAAGATATTTGGAGACTTGGCTTCCATCAATTTTTGCTTTCTTTATTGTGCTTCATTGCTTTGGAAAACAGAGGTCTAAAGAGGAACATTCATATTTTTCATTCGCATTTTTGTAGGATTTTTCTAGGCTTTTTTTAAAAGTGATGATGAACTATGAAAGAAGTTACCGACAAGCATGTAGATAGGAATAATGTTCAAAGTATTTGACAAGAAGAATTCTAAGCTAGATCTTATGGCTAGGACATAAACCGCAATTTTTGAGTACAGGACATTTCCTTGGGAGTTGACTAAATTTTCAAATATTATATCGGCTTCAAGTTTTGCTGAAAGTCTACAAGTTGAAATTCTTTCATTTTTCTTGAAGTATACAATTATAGGTAAAACAATAGCCTTTTTTTGGACGAGAGTTTCAATTATCCGTGCTTTCTTGGAGGAAGTAGTGGTTACTACTTTAGACTGAATACAACTTAACAACTCATCTCATTGGCTGGAAGCTTTATGGAAAGGTGATTGTCAATTTAACTTCACCTTACCCGAGAAAGATGAAGTAGTGCATAGTGTAATGGAATATATATTTGAATAAACTTTTGTTTGCAAAGCTAATGATGCTGCATGAGGGGTAAGTTTTTAATAGGCATTAGATAGGGCTTGGTATCTCCAACATCCATCTTGACCTCATTTATCACACTTTATCTCTATCAAAGTTCATTTATCTTAAAAGATGAAATTTAGCATTCAATTCTTGAACCAATGCATGACTTTAGCAATTTATGTGAATGATGGGAAAAAAAATTAGAATGGATTCTTCTTACTCTTCCTTTTTATCACTGAAACTGCTTAGGAATATGAAGAGTGATTTTATCTTTAGTTGTTCTATAGACATTTGGATTTTTCAAAAAAGACTACACACATTTTTTTAACCTTTTGCTTGTGTTCTCTTTTGTATAGGTTCAAAGTTATCAGAAAATATCTGTGTTTCTATGAATATTGCCAACCCAGTATCCGACATCAGAGGAGATGAATATCGAGAAAATCAAGTTCAAGGCTTTTGATTTGGGAGGTCATCGGATTGCGTGCTGAGTTTGGAAAGATTATTATGCCAAAGTATTGTCTTTGCAAAATTCTATACCTGTGGCAGTTGATTTACATTTTCTTGGATGTTTAGTAAATTACTGGGCCATAACCAAAGAAACTCAAAGCAATAGTACATTGAATTGTTGGAATTTTGTCTTTGGTCGATGGCAGTAAATTTCTAATTCCTGAAGATAGCGTATATGTTCTTCTCTATTATGTGGAAGTCAGTCGAAAACCATATTAAGTAAGTCTGAATAATTGACATTTTATCAAAAGCTTCCCATTTTAGAAGCAACAATACTGCTCTCAAAGCCGTGGCTTGGATCACTCGAATTACATGTTAAATGTAATAAGAGGTTTAACCTTCCCTTAATTTACACCAATTGTTTATGGTTAAAGAACAATCCTACAAACATCTTATCGAAAATTCATAGTGCCCACACCTTTCATTTAAGTTGCATAAAAATTCTGCAATAGCTTTTGCATGTATAGACATCTTGTTCGAATTTTGCTCATTGAGTTAAACTTTGCTTTGAGTATACTTTTGGTGATATTTACATGTCTTGATCTTCTATCTTTAATAGTTTCTTCTAACAGTTTGTTGGTGCAGTAATTTTTATATTCTCTCTTTTAGTTTCTCAACATGTCAAGAATCACATTTTCG